TAACCCATCGTAGGTCCCTGGCGAAAATACTGCTGTTTGTGTTACGAGTATTTCTACAATTTATGAATATTCTGACTGTTAATACAATCAGGTTGTAAAGAGGAGGGATGGTGAGAGATGATTATCGCGCTTGTTGATCGGAGAGAAAAACCTCCGTAGGGAATGGTAATTTTTCACAGTTTTGCCTCTTCTGACCATCAGCGAAACAGTTGGCGATCTGTTCATTCTGTTCCGAACTATTTTGTTTCGGAAATTTTATATAATCTCTCCCACTTTCGGCCATCCTACGGCTTATTTGATTTATGTGGGTACCAGCCAAGAGTCTGCTTTATTCGTCTGTTAGCTCTTATTCAATCTACACGATCGACCCAGGTTTCTTTCCAGGCATGCGTCGCCTTTACAGTGTCGTTCACGTCGGACCGAGACCGCAGTGCGTGACCGTAAATGTACTGCAGCTTAATTACACATAGCATGCGTCATTTTATAGCTGACTTAGATACTGTTGTTATTTCCCTTTACCAATAAAAAGAAGATGCAGTGAAATTTTTAGCACGAAGAATTCCCGCAACACAGTTTATACGAGTTCTTGAAGCGATATAAAGAGTTGTGTGAACTGATCAGTGCCAACGAAATCGATGTATCGGAGTGTGAGCGACTGATAAAAGAGTGCGCCAAAACTTCGTGGACCGCTGAAAATCGGGTTGTCAAACAAGAGGTTTGTTATCGCTGTGGTTGAGTATCTTCAGAGCTTTGAAATGTTAAAACATGAAAGTAATAGATTGTTAAACCCCTGATACTAAGTAATAGCTTTTGTCGGGGAACCACAAGCAGTATTAGCTTACTTCTAAGCAGCTCCTGAGAAACGAAGCACCGGTAGCTTTGGTGGTGAGCGTTACCACTCGGACCACTTTTTAGCGCCCACGCTTCTCATAAGTAAATACGGGGAATTTTAGCTTTTTGAGCTTGTTTTCTTCATGTCTGATAGAACCTCATGTATAGATTAAGCAGGAGGGAGTGTTTGCAGGGACGATGTGGTGACCAGAAATATGCAACGGGTAGCGCAACATATTTGGTTGCAACATATCATCCAAATAAAGTGGCCGAATTATCTCGTCTGTTGACACGGGAAGTTAAGTTACGTCTCGATTCTTCACTCAGTCTGCAAATCCAGGTGATTTTTGCATGAAGACTAAACATTCTGCAATTACACAAAGTTTTTTTTTCGTTGTTTAAATTCACTAATCAGTCGTGACTTCGTCAAGATGCGAATGCATTTTGTAGATGCGCTGTGTTGCTTTACAAATTCAGTGGCGTATCGTTGCCTGCAATAATGCATTTATGATGGAAAATCGTTTGAACGCAAACAGTCCTTTGTGCTGTAAG